CGAAGAACAAGAAACATAAGGAAAAAGAGAAAGCACAGAAACGGGAGAGAGAGAGTCAAATAAAAAGGGTAAGTTAGTCATTTAATCCCGTTCCGTCATGTTCCATCTTGCTAGTACCAAACATGACACAAAATTTTTGTTCCGTCCCATCCCGTCCCGTCCCATTCCATCCAATTCCGTCCCGTCTGCGTACCAAACGATACATATATGTATATTCTCATCTCTATCTATCACAAGGCCTTTTGGGAGCTCACTGGCTTCGGAGTTAATCGGAACTCCGAAGTTAAGCGAGTAGCGCGCGAGGGCAATCCCATGATGGGTGACCCACTGGGAAGTTCTCATGTGAGTTCCCAGAAACAAAATCGTGAGGGCGTGGTCGGGGCCCAAAGCGAACAATATCGTGCTATGGTGGTGGAGCGGGCCCAGGATGTGGTGAACCCCAGGCGGGATGTGACATAGTTACTCGTATAATTTGACAAATATAAAGTGTTAGATAAAACAGACATTACTTATCCTCAAGAAATACATACGTTTACACCGGATATGGTAGGCATCTCCATTATGTACATTCATGGCAAAGAAATGGCAATGACATAATTGTCATTCCACAAACTTCCTTTTAACTGGATAATTTGGATCTCTCGTCATTTTGTAAGCAATTATAAATGGTAGACGCATCCTTATGTGCTATATGTGCCCGGCTGCCGTAGACGACAGTCATATGCGTGGACCAATCAGGAGATGCGCAAACTGGGCTCCACCTTCCCCAAGAGTACAAATATCTCCCTAGTAATATGAATCTCGTGACTTATGGGTGTTATGTACTGTATACGGTTAGAACACATGTATAATACTCCATTTACATGTCTTTTTATGGATTAAGTTGTATCTTTCTCTCGTATGAATTTTCATATTGTTCATCGTAGTTAGCTTTCTGGCATGGTATGCATGGTGATTATTGATTTACGTGATTAGTTATTTTGAGAAATGTGTTATATTTGTTGACAGGTGTAAAGTGTCTAACATGCGTATCTATTTCTCCTAAATGATGCAATTTGGCGTCTGAGATCTATGGATGTAGCTTCATTCAGTGTCACAACATATGTTAGGCGTGCTTATCTCAAACAAATTAGGCTTACGTGTCTCATACGAAAGATGAATTGATGAAAGAGGATGTCCCATATAGTAGACAACTTCATTCAATTCACTAACGACAAGGTAACCCTAATGTAGTTAGTCATTCGTATACCAAACATAAGGTGTCAGACAAAGTAGGCATGTAAACATATCTTGAAAGATGTACTCAGACGCCCAAGACAGTAAATGGCTCCATCAAGTGCGTGTATGACAAAAAACTAGCAAATTAGTTACTCATATAATGCGACAAACATGAGGTGTCAAACATGCAAATCTCCCACGAAAGATTCATGTAAGTGTCCAAGATAGTGGATATAGCTTTATTTAGTGTGTTCGCGACAACTTTAATGATCAATGCGGTTAATCATGCAATTTGACAAATGTGAAGTGTCAGACGAAGTAAGCGTTTGTATCTCTCATAAAAGATACAAGTAGTTGATCACAAAAATAAACAACTCCATTAAGTGAGTTTACAACAAAGAAACGTTAATGTAGTTACTCGTATAATTTGACAAATGTGAAATGTCAAACAAAGCAAACGTTACTTATCCTCAAGAAAGACATACGTGTACACCGGAGATGGTAGACATCTCCATTATGTACTTTCACGGCAAAGAAATGGCAAAGACGTAATTATCATTCCACAAACTTCCTTTTTAGTTGGATAATTTGGATCTCTCGTCTTTTTGTAAACAATTATAAATGGTAGTTGTCTAAAATAGGAAGAGCAAGTGTGCTATATGTGGTAGTCCATATAGGCCTCGTTCGCAACTCATAAAAATGATTTAATAGATCAAAAATACGGATTTGGTTGTTTAGTGTCCTTATGTAATTTGGCTTTGCCAATTTAATGCAGCTCACACTCGCTTACTTATTCTCTTCAAAATGTTGATATAGGAAACATGCTAACAAAAACACGCTTGCTCTCTCTCTCCGTCCTTTTCTCGCGAATCTAGCATCGTTCGCAAATCTCCTTTGCGTGGTTGTTGTTCAGGCGTCATTCGCAAATCTCCTCTATGTGGCCGTCGTTCAGCCATCGTCTCAACCTTAGGTACTATCGTCGCTCCTCTCTCATCTTCTCTTAAAAATAATAGGGAATAATGACAGTCTTAAATACTCTTATGTGGTACATGCCCAACACAGTATAAAATTTGATCTTTAGTTCGATATTCACCAAATGTCTAATCAGTACTGTATGATCCACAAACTAGTTTATTTGACTCAAATAATTAATATGGTCCGACTTACCAATCGAGGCCATAGAAGGTTGTACTTGGATTGTTTTTCATATGGATTTATCTGCATTAATAGATAAATCAGTTACCATTACTATGCTAATTACTGGATTAGGGATGGATTATCTTTAAAGACCCATATAGAAAAAGGCCCAAGTTCTCGACGGACCAGATTTCATTTCCATTCAGAGCCCATTTGGTTAAAAAAAAAAAAAAAAAGTTTCCAAATCAAGGGACTTAAATGACATTGAAAGTTTCCTTATTACAATATTATTTTATGGTTTTATGGATTCTTCTAATTTATGAGGAAGAGATTTGAACATGTGTGCTATATGTGCTACCCTCTTAATTCAAGTTCGAATTTTTCTTTGCGTACTTTAGATATATCATTTGTATAAAAAACATGTTTTTATTCCAAATTTCTTCACAAATAAAGCATTTATGGAAAATTCAAGGGGCTTATTTAGACAGTTTTTTTAAATAACTGAAAGAGTTTTTTGTGAAAATTTGGAACCAATCTTCAATAAAAATATAAGTGAATCTTGAAAAAACACTTGAAATGTTTATTGTAAGAAGCATATAGGCGTTTTTTGAATCCAAAAATATTTTATCTAAAAATATTTTTAATTATTTTAAAATAATTTCCGAACGAGGCCAAACAATTTTTTTTGAAATTCCTTGGTCCAAACGGATTTTTGGCTTTGGCACTTACCCAAGTACGGGCTCTATGTTGGTGGTTACCATGAGTCAATCGTTTTAAGCAACTTTTTAACTTTGTTTTTGTCAAACCTACCAACTCATTTGGATGTGATTGATTGCTAAAAGACTAAATATATGCCTAAATCAAAATTTAAAGTAAATTAGGTAGTCAATATAAAAAGTACTTTCTATTTCCCACTATAGAAATAAACCACTTTGTATTTATACTTTATAATTAGAAATATCGATACACAAATTTATAAAAATATCAATAGATATATTGATTTAATATTGGTTGCTTTCAATGGGAATTATAGAAATTTGCAAAAGAGTGAGTATACTAACTCATTCAGATTTAGTTGGAATTAGTGAAAAATTTCTCAAAAAGAAAAAAAAAATCAACAGTTTGAAATTTGCAATTTGGTTTTGGCAACAATTTTGTAGTGAACCGGTAAATATCATCGATATTCATTTATTTTCTTATATCTCGCCGATATAAAGTGAAGTATGGAAACCTTCCATTTCCATTAAATTCTTAATTCTTCAAATATTTCGACGAAAATATCGACAATTTCCAAAATATTTTAAACACTAATTGTAACCCCAATCGAAATTTCAGACAAAAGGAAACTACTCAGGGAGAGATTTTTCAGTGTGACTGGTATATAGGATGGTACATCATGTGTCACTATACAAATGATGTGATATGTGTATTAAAAAGTTAATAATTTAAAATAAAATTTATCACAATTTATATAAAAACACATGATGTACCACTCGTGTTTTGATCACAATGAAAAATTTCTCCTACTCAAGGGCAAGCCCCAAGTAATAGAGACGTGGTGCGTAGCTAAAAATGTATGAATGCCAAGAAAGAAATAAAAAGCAATAGAGAACCCATTCCCATAGCCAGAAAATAAATATGACGAAATAGTGGCGGGGGCACCGACAGTTTGGCGCGCATGTGGCGCCGTTGGCAGCAAAACTAGGGGCCATGACCTCAATAATATGGTCAATTGAACTTGCCCGTATCCTATGCCACCAAAATGGTTTGCGAAAGAATACTCAAGAACTATGTGATATTTTAAATTACTCGATACATGAAAAAATGGACGTTTGGAAAAGATTTAATTTTGTCGGTACTAACTAATGATGAATATGGTTCAATCAAATCAAAATTTTGAAAAAGAATGAATCGAATTAAAGAGTTTGGTTCTGTATTTCAACCAAAAATTAAAAATGAAAATAGATACTTGTACCAAACCAAGCGGTTCAATTTGGTTGATTTACAAGAGAATTGACAAACTTAAAGAAAACTACTCACAATCAAAGAAGCACACAAATTATCCTAAATTAACTGATCTAGCCTAAAAACGCATTTCTCACTAACTTATTATAATCGTGGTCACATGAATAAAATAGAGCATTAAACCCAACATTTACAATCACAACGAGGTGGTCCAGTAAGATGAATTTCAGGACCGTATTTCACACATTATGTTTTAGATTCGATTTCTGGTACTAATTAATCAAACATTGATGGATAAAAAAAATTAAACACATCTGTGAGTCTTTCCGATTCCTAAAAAAACAGACTTACGTGACCAAACCAACCCAACATTTGCATTCTTTTTTGAATTTGTACGCCAAAATTTCATTTTCCTGTTGGAACGTCAGTTCAAAATCAAGGTTCCCACACAAGTAAAGGATCGAAAGCTAAATGTGTCTCTCGTAGAGATGGAAATAAATGCGATTGAGGCAATGGCGTTGTCGAAATTAGATCCCAAATCAATGGGCCAAATCCCACGCCAAACTCCGCAACAAACAAAATTAATGTGATTTGGGAGGCGGTCACATGCAGGGCCCCGATTCTGCCGGCCCAGGTCGGGTTTTACCCACAACCACAAAACGGTGTCGTCCCGAGTATCGTCCGCCTGCCTCACCGCGAAAAGTCCTCGCCGGTTACCAAACAAAAAAAAAAAAAAAAAAAAAGAACCTCCATTATTTAATGTCCGCCCATTTTCTCAGAGAGTGGACTCACTCTAAAGCTCTCATTGACGCCTGCTGGTTCTGATCGCTCGCATTCCCCTCACTCCTCCTCGCGCTCCGCTCTCCGGTACTCCCTCTCTCTCCTCGCTCTCTCTCTTTCTCTCTCTAGGATTGTATGCGCATTCGCCGATTCGAAATCGCACGCACATTTCATACAATCGATGCTTGCTCTACAGTTTTCGTTTTCGTTTCGAAGCTCCGATTGAATCGGTATAAGTGTATGTATATGTGTATATATACACTGTAGAGTTGGATGATAATTTGTGAATTTTAGGAAGAAATCGTAGGATCCGCGTTCAGGCTGATTGATTTACTGTTGCTGTTACTGTTTTTGATTTTCTGGAGTGATTGGAGCCCTAGATCTTCTGCTTGGTTCAGTTTTGCTTTGTCGGAATAATGTTTGCTTATTCATTTTCTTCATGATTTTTTTTCGTGGATTATTGTCATTATTTAGTTGTTTTTTCACTGATTTTTCATTTTTCTAGATCTTTCGAGGAACTGGAATTGAATTGATATCTGGATTCTGTGCTTATGCTAGGCGATTGTTTACTGCGTAGAGAATTGTAGATGTTTGTTTCGGTACATTTGAGTTTTCGTGTTCACATTCGAAATTCGATCGAATTCAACGTTTACGATCTTTTGTTTTCCGATTTAATTATTATCATTATTCAGTAGGATTTTCATAATCCATTGGAGAATTGGAGGAAGTGTGGTGTCGTATTCAGATCTTTCAAGCAACTGGAATTTAATTCCTAAGTCGATTTTTATGCTGTTGCTATGTGATTGTTAACTGCATTTAGACTTATCGATGTTGGAAATTCGTTGTTTTCAGAATTGGAAGGCCAGCAGCAATGTCAGAGAACGCTCTTAGAGATCTCAATACCATACCTGGATCTGAGAGGAAGAATGAAAGCTCTAGCAAAGGGGGCGTAACTAAGCCCGTCGCTGTGAATGCTAATGAAAATCATGAAGAATGCCTGAAGAAAACCACAGCTTCGGTGGGTTCACTTTCTATAAATGGCGAGGAAGTTGCAAATTCCATACCCGAGGTTGGAATTGCTGAAGTAGAATACATTGAATCTGAGAATCTGAATGATCTAGAAGATGTTGATACGAGCCTCAAGGTATTTGTTGTGTTTTTGTGTAAACCTAGGCATTTTTTACCTTTCACCATTTTTCTTGTGCGAGGTAACTTTATGATGCGTTTGATGTTTCAGACACTACTAACTGGACTAGAGTCTAAAGATTGGGTTCTGGTGTGTGAAGCGCTCAATAATGTTCGTCGGTTTTCTATATTTCATAAGGAAGCCATGCTTGATATGTTGTAAGTCTCATGTTCTTGCATGATATTCATGAATGAAAGAAGTTTCATGTACTATTGATGATTGTAAGTGTTGTCCAATTTAATTATCATCGTCGTTTTGTTCAATAGGGGAGATGTGATATCGCTTGTTGTAAAGTCACTGAAGAATCCAAGAAGTGCTGTTTGCAAAACTGCAATAATGACATCTGCAGACATTTTCAATGCGTACAATGATGACGTGATTGATTCTTTGGACCCTATGGTAACGTGAATTCTTTGAAACTTTTCTGTTGCATCGCTTTACTTTGTTTGTAAAGGACTCTTCTTTTATATGCAATTAATCCATAGTTCTTTTTCCCTGATTTGGTCAATCCTGACTCATGCAGCTTACCCAACTTCTTCTAAAGTCATCACAAGACAAGCGATTTGTGTGTGAGGCAGCTGAGAGAGCTTTAGTAGCGATGACCACTTGGGTTTCCCCTACATTGTTGTTACCAAAGTTGCAACCATATCTGAAGAACAGAAATCCTAGAGTTCGAGCGAAGGCATCAACGTGTTTTTGTCGAAGTGTTCCACGACTGGTAAGAGGAGATTATATCCCCACCGCACCACCTTGTTTATTACATTTTTCTGTTCTTATCAGAAGAAGTGAGATCTACTTTCTTTCATACATTTGGTTTTAGTGTTTTGAATCTTGATTGGTTCTTGGAAAATATGAGGTATGTAGAGGATGCTAAATAGTTCTTAGGAGAAGAAATCTGATTGACTTATTTTACCTTCAAACCCCCCCATAAATCCTACCCCCCATAATGCACTGGTTTAGCTTTTGCTTATAGTTTAGGACGTGTGTTGTCAAACTGGAATTTACAAAAAATGGCTTAACCGTTGGAGTTTCGTTGAATGTGGTTGTTTCTGTGCTTATCCTATGCAGATTCCTATAGCTCATCAATTCCTTAATTTTGTATTTACTTTTCTTTACACGTGATATATGCTCAAAAACAGTAACCGTGTGCTTTTGTCCTCTATAATTGTGATCTTCTCCTTGAGTGTTCCTAGTTATACTATTGTACCTTGCTCAATAACTTGTCTATTATCAAATATTTGTACGTCGAGAAATTGAACAAGTATATTGCAGAGCGCATTCTGCAAGACCTTCAATTAGACGTGGTGCATCTTATTTCTTCTTGTTATATGCTCATCTCGTGTCTGCCAACAGGGTGTTGAAGGTATTAAAGCGTATGGGTTTGACAAATTAATTCAGATCGCTGCATCTCAGCTTAGTGACCAACTTCCTGAGTCAAGGGAGGCTGCTAAGATCCTCCTTCTGGAGCTGCAGACTGTTTATGATAAATTTGATGATCCCCCTCCAGCCGCAGTGTGTGAGCATCCAGAAACGAGCTCAGCAGCAGCATCTGAGCTCCCAGAAACGAGCTCATGGGAGAACTTTTGTCAGTCAAAACTCTCGCCTCTCAGTGCACAAGCTGTTCTTCGGGTAACCAGTGTCGCTCGGGAAGGTCTTGTTATGGGATCTTGACACAGGTTTATATTGAAACACGCATGAGCTTTAGTAGCATTTTATCACCATTTTCCAACATATATGATCTTTAGGGAAAAGGCCTATATCTGCCCTTGATTTGATTTGCTTGGTCAATTTCTCTTTTCATTTTTTCGTGCTTGTAAATCCTTCGAAAGGTTGAGATGTTTGGTCTTACAGTTGGAGCATGTAGTTGAGCCATAGTTTTACGATAATATTCTTCACACATCGCGATATTACAGCTGGGTTTTGTTCCTCCGAACATTGCTGTCGAAATGTTGAGGTGTTTCTTTTACTCAATCATTTGATGTCTATCTGCTTACACAGTGACAATGTTCCTTCCTCACCCATATTTTTGGGTGAAAAGTCCAATCAGCCCATGCATGATTAGCCAACTACAACCGATTAGCTTTGGTTTTAGATGTTTTGTGATCGTGATGTGTTTATTACTCTCTTTCGCTTTTGCGTTTTACTAAACTTGAGTTGGGGTGTCTGATCACGTTATTTGTTGAACCTTTGAACTTCCAAGCGGGAAAACCCCGATTCACAAAACCCCACGCTATCATCAGTCCAAATGCAGGGACCTCACTTGGTTGCAAGAGGGTCTGTTAGTGTGACATTTCAAACGTCAAAAGCTATTTCAGTAACGAAAATCTTGATCTGTGCGCCCCAAACTTGACCTTATTTTTAAGGCCATTTAGCTCAAGCGGTTAAAATTAGGAAGTTTTAACGAAAATGTTATGGTACTGTTCACTTTAATGAAAAACCACATTTTTACACTAAAAAGTCAAACTTGGTACTATTCATTTTACACTTTATTTTGGTCTTATTGTTAAAACTTAAAGTTTTCAAATCCTTTTCATTAGTTTTTCTTTAAAATTTAGTCTCGTTACTTAATACATTAGGTCACAGGCTAGGCCAGAGAATTCATGATGAAAGAAAAACATGAAAATCAAAGTGAGCAGAGAGGAGGAAGACAAACATAAAGATTTAAGACTTGTTTGCAAGTGTTTTTAAATTGACGGAGAGTGCATTTAAAGAAATGTTTGTGGGTTCCAAAAAAACTTGAAGTGCTTCTAAAAGCATGTGTAAACAAGCTTTTAAACTATGAATCTTCTCAAGATCTTTATGTCTGAATTCTTATAATTTGGTTCATTACTAACCACTCCATGATAAAGACTGATTAACCCTATCTCCTTTATATTTATATTATAACTCTTCTTATTTCTCAGTGTTTTAGGTACTAATCCCACTTTATAATGTCATCCATTCCTTTGTCCAATCACAAATTAGTATATTCTATCCCTCTTCTCACCAACAAATTTCATCTTTCCAGAGCTTCTTCTAAGAATTTGATTCGTTTTCGACATCGAATCAGACTCACATTGAGCTGAATTCATACCAGTACTGGTTGCTTGGGTGAGAAGTAAGTTAATAAATTATTATGCTCCGATGAGTGACAAAATTGGAGGTGTTGCAGCGCAGATTGTGGCAATGGCGATCTTCATGTCAGTAATATTGTTGTTTTTGGGAATCGGATTCTTGATCTTAGTCCATGTGTGGATCGTTGGGAGGGCTTTCAGAAGAGGAGGACTTGGCGGCAATGCCTTAACGGCAGCTGCCATCGCCGCCGGCAGAACTGCCACCAGTGGAGCCGCCACAACGTGCATGTCGAAAGACGAAGTGGAGAAGCTTCCAAGCTATGATTACGAAGCTAATTACAAAAGTAGCCCTGTGGATTGTGCAGTGTGCTTGGACAACTTCAAGATGGGCGAGAAGTGCAGGCTGTTGCCCTTGTGCGGGCACAGCTTCCATGCCCATTGCGTTGATGCGTGGCTTTTGAGGACACCGATTTGTCCGATATGCCGGGCCCGAACTGGCACTGCTGCTGGTTTGGCCGGGAAGGGAGTGCCGGTTGCCGATGCCGGCGTTGAATTAACGGAGAGTCAAACAAGTGGAAGCGGGCATTTGAGTGATGCTAGAGTTGACTTGGGGGCGAGGCAGGCAATAGAAAGTGGGCACTCGTCACCTGAGTGATGGTATCGTAAAGCAATGAGTTTTGAGAAATAAGCGAAAGGAAAGTGTAATTCACACACTTATTTATACCTCTCACACATTTTTATTTATTTTTTGTCATTAATTTTCTTCAATTCATTTGATTTGAAGTCCAAAAATTAAGAAGGAGTGTGTGAAAGTACAAATGAGTGTGTGGATAGCATTATAACCAAAACTTGGCGATTTGAGACCAAATGAGTTTAGGTTGAGAATCTGTATAAGATAATTTACATGTAACATACCAATATATAGTTTTGAAAGTTTAACAGTTAGCGTACATTTTAAGTACCTCAAATTTATCTGCCAAAGTCTCTAAAATTTTCAAGCGCATATCCGTCTCTTATGTCATATATTGGTAATCTAGAAATTTCAAAGATTTCTTGTGTATGTTTGAATTATAACGTTTTATACATCATGTAATTCCCTATCAAATTTGTTGTTGCTTGCTTGTACCTTTATTTTATGTGGGCAAAGGAACAACATTCTCTCCGGATCCCTTCCATCCGGATTCTCTAGATCCTTTAATCATGTATGTTCAGCATTCTCTCCAAATCCCTTCCATCCGAATCCTTTGGATCCCTTCCATCCGGATCTTTTGGATCCTTTAATCATGCATGTTCAACAGAAAAGTGCCCGGCCAAAAAAACATTCAGACAATCTTGACGCCATCAAAATGAGGGCAGCAGCGGCCATGGGATCCTCTACATCGAGATCCACAGCGATGACGTTGACGGTGGGAGGATTGAGAGGGGCGCGAATGTCTGAGGAGACAACGGCATCATCGGGATCGTAGTCGAGATCAATGACTTCGCAGTCCTGTTCGAGGCAAGGTTGCGATCAATGGCTTCGCGATCCTATTCAATGTCGGAGAAGAAGTTGCGAGGGCCTTGCAGCCCAAGGGAACTTTTAACAAAAACTTTTATCGTCCTTTCGTCCACCTTCCTAAATAAAACATACTCTTCATTGCTTTGACATAAACTACAATGTGTTTTTGTATTGCCATATAAACTGCAAGAGCTCTTTATTTTTTTATTTTTTTATTTTTTTATCATAACTGAGATTTCCATTACTGTAAACAAACAGATTACAAGAGTTTTGGGGAGCAAGGGAAGCCTCATTAAAAACCTTCAAAGAAGAGGGAAAAAGAGTGTTTCAAACTGCAAGAGCTCTTCCAGCAATTTAGTTGCTAATTTTTTTTTTTTGAGTTACACCATCATGCAATGTTATCGATTCATTCATACTGTAACATATTTATTTATTTAATTACATACTTAAATATTAATTATGTCGTATATATTACCATCCACCTGTAAGTGGAATGATTTAAGTTCAACCCCAGTAAATGACTCATTATTGTATGATTTAGCCTGCATCTTCCACTAATTAGTATAAATATATGGTTATAATAAAAATAAAAATAAAAACTAAAATTCTCCACTTGTACGTAGAACGTTTTAGGTTTGAATTTTGTAAATGACGAGTTCATACCAAATTATTACGGTTAGTTCATTGTGCGGCTTAGCCTAAATTCTTCACTTCTTATTGTAAATATATGGTTGTGATAAAAAAAAAGGGAAATGAAAACACATACTTTTTTTTTCTCCTCCTCTCCACATTGTCTAATCACGTTTTGTTGTCTTCGGGGAAAGAAATGAAAACAAATATAAGGTGAAGCAGCCATAGAACCTGAAATAAGTACTTTAAGAAATTCTGTTCAAGCACATCAGTTTCTTTCGGGGAAAGATTCTGCTGCTCCAATTTCTTAGCCCCATTTACAGGGTCCAAAAAATTGATGTGCTTGAAATTGGAGCAGCATAATCTTTTCCCAAAGAAACTGATTAAAGCTCTTGTTGGAATTGAGCGATTATATGTATGCAAAGGGAAACCAGTCTGAATGTAGGATGACTAAACGGCTAGCTATGATACAGGTGATGGATAAGAGTAATTTCAAGATAACAACTAATGAGGAGATTGAAGTTGCGCATTCAGGCCAGTATCTTCTAAATCTATCCATCACGGTTGACGAATCTAATGTTAGTACTCGCAAGTATGTTTCCAATATTATTTCAGTTCATTAATTACAAACCTGTTAACGTTAGTTCATCTATATCTGTTCATGTCATTCACATTTGCCGATCCCCGAGTATTGTTTCTGTTGAATGTAGCTTGATTAGAAGCTTTTTAAAGGAAATTTTTTTTTTTCACTGAGCATCTTCAACCAAACCTTCCTAATTTTGCTGATAAGGTAGTTCAAGTTTATTATACAACACTGCAAACAATTTGGAATTTTAAACCCTTAGGATTTCTAGTTGCTATCATGTAGGATTGGCCATATTTAGATTATCTGCATCTTCTTTCTTCCTTCCACTCTCTTTTTGTTTCTAGAGATCTATAATCTGCATTGTTTTCATATTTGAGTACATTATCTTCCGGCACGGCATTGGACTTGATCAGACAACTGATTTCTTTTTCATGGAGAGAGTGGACATGTTGACCCTTATGGAGTTTAGCTTGAACGTTCCACAATCTATTTACATGTATCTAATGTAAATACAATTGACAGGAAGAATTTGATGATTTATTAGGGCTTGTACTGGTATTCCATCTCTTGAATGTGCAGGTCACGGAGATGATAATTGCTTACTATATATTAATGGAGCAAGGGAAAGCTACTTTACAAGTACATATTTCTTTGATTGCTTTTCTACTTCCACTAACCAGTTTCCAAATAATTGCAAGAAGTATACTATGCATTCTTTACTAGTATTGCTGAAGTCTTACTTGGGGACTAGGTGGTGTGAGGAACTAATTAAAGAAGAGTTTCACTCCAATTGTAATTCCGATGCCGACGATGCAGTTCAGAAGTTGGAGATCGATTATCACTGCTTAAATATAACATCGATTGCTCTGACGAAAAATGATTATGTAAGCCCCCGAGAAGGAATAGTAGGACGGTTGAGGGTTAATTTTCATGTCCGTTATTTGACTGCATTAGGAATTTCCAAAAGTTAGGGAATGATGACTGATGAGGGATTGAAACCATCGAGTTTGTTTTCTTTAGTTGCATGTAGGATGTGAGAAACAACCACCCATGCTCCTTTTCTAAACTGAACCTTCCCGTCGCTTTAGGATTCCGTTGGACGGTTTTACTGCGGTGGGCTGAAGCATGCTAACGAGATCATTGGCAGCACCACAGAGGAGCTTGTCCTCAAGGCAAAACAAGGTGGTAATGCTTGATGTTGTCTTGAAAAGCTGGGCCATCAGCTTCTATCCGATGATCTATACAGGAACGTTACTTGAAAGTGTGTGTGGTTTTGGCAGGTGATAATTCCGCTCTCGAACAGCCCTAGAAGGCTAGAAGGCTACATCATCGTCACCTTCGATAGGTTCAAGACTATTATTTTTGGATTTTTCTTTTCGTTTTCTTCACGTACAGTTCGTTTAATTGTCAATATCTCTAATCGTTGGTGAGGTTTTTATTGTCAATTAAATACGTATTTAGAAGTCTGCATGTAACTCACTAGGGTAGACGATGTTGCAATCTCCAAGTGGCAGTTGGAATTGGGTTTCTGTAAATTTTCTTGTTACTCTTGTATCCTAAAATTTTAGTTGTCTTTCGCTTTGTTCGAGTCTGAAGTATTAGGTCTGACCCTTCCATGCGAGAATGATAGATCTTTGTTGCAGGTCTCTTAGCTCGTTGTACATGTATCGTTGTTAGTATCACATCGTTTTTTTTTTTTTTTTGCAAACACAAAAACATGTTCGTAACTATACTGAGTCACTGACACCTGAAAAGTTGATAGAGAAGTATACTTCAGCCTTTTTAACAGTTTGACATTTTTTTTTTGTTTTTTTTTTTTATCATCAAAGATCTAACCGTGAAAAAATTTAGAGTGTCAAGATTGTCAAGATTTTCAATAAAAAAAACCAAAACATTTGAATGATTAAGAAAATTCGCCTTCTGCCCTTCGAAAGCGACTCAGCAACCATTAAGCCGGGAATTTATGCCATTCCTAATTTCTCCATCTGCACATTCAATGATTTTTTTTACTTCAAATTCAATAAATCAAATAAAAATTAGGAAATAGAATAACAAAAAGTATGCGAAATAAAAAATAAAAAAAATATGCGGATACCACGTAGGGCTCACTGCACATGAGTCAGACCAAACCAAAGAAGAAACATGTGCCCATCAGGCCGTCACCATAAATCTCCAATTTAAAGCGTGAAAGATGGTGTGGTGGAACACATGAATTGTCTAATCAGTTTTCTTATGATGTTTTTCTTGAGATTTTCTTTACCATGCATCGGAAATTAATTAATTTAATTTTATATTCCTTAAATTAATATACAGGTCTTTTATGCAAAGGGATCTCAATTTTTTGAAAAAAAAAAAATAGAGATTAAGTATGGGGCCCACTCTATATTGAATTTCAACGATCCGAATCATCTGCTTTGTTAGCCTAGATTCATAAATCATCTTTACAAAAATTCAATTCAATCCGAAATCATTTGTCTATTTAATTATCAAGATCAAATTTCATTGTTTCTTATATAACAAAGTATTCTTTCATTTCTTTTAACTCAATTAGATGTCTTAAATATTTCCGATTTGGTTAATATTTTGTAAGGATGATCCATGAGAATGAAAAATAATGTACCCATATAAGTTTTAAAATGGATTAAAATTTTTTTGAATGGATTTGATATTAAAAAATTGGGTAAATTTTATATAAAAAATTTGTACATTTTATATTAAGAAAAATGTGCATTTTACATATAACAAATTTGTATATTTAAGAATGGGTACATTTAAGATTAAAAAAAAAACACTAACAAAAAGTCCAAAAAAAAATTTAGTTTTAAAGAAAAATGACACGTAGGATTTGCTTCTTATGACCCACATAAAGTGGACCATAGAGTTTTCCAACCCTAAAGCTATCTCTTGGAGCTGCTCAGCTTGCGACCCAAACGCAACATACAAAACTCTACCTCCCTCCAGCCTTTTGTCCAGCCACTCAATCCGGATCGCCTTTTCATCACGATCGTGTGGTTCATCTTGTGCCAGCTTAAAAAAGGGACCCACACACCAGGCCTTGGGCAAATACTCAGTGTTCCAGCACTCAACGAACACAGCTTCGAGCTCGTAGAAACTGTTGACTATCATACCGTAGCTACGAGCGGTTGACTCCGATGTTTTCATCATGAACTCAGAGGATGCATGTTGGACACCATCAGTAATAGTGGACTGGTTAAAGTCCTTTTTGGTAACTTTGATCCACGGAAACCGAGTTACGGTGACTAACTCCGT